CCGTTTTTATTTAAGAAAAAAATTATTAGTATGTTAATCTCAAAACTTTATGCAATTAATGAAAATAATAAATATTTTGTGATCGCTCCTTTACAATCTTTAAAAATTTATAAATTTATTTAAAAAAAAATTGGAAGTTTACTCAAAAAAAATTCTTTAATTTTTGTAATTTTTGCACAGCAACAATTCTTGTAACAAGCTCGTTTTCTAAAAAAAAATTGTGGTAGGTTTCCATTAAAAAAAATTGTTATTATGTTTATCCTGTAAGTAGAAACAATTAATTAATAACCAATTTTTTTTCGCGAGAACAAAATCGTTTCCTGACTTTTGGAACACCTGTATTTATCCATTCATAAAAAGTTTCAAAAATTTGTTTCTCGTATTTCTATAACTTTTTATGCGCTTTTTTGAGTCTTTTAGACCTCTAAGTGCATTCGAATTAATTTCGAAGAATTTAGTTTTTGCGATTTTTGTCAAAATTTAGTCAATTCTTACCCTTCTTAAGCTAATATCTGCGAAACTATTATTAATAATATAATAATAATAACCTGTTGTGTTTGTTATGGTTAAAAACACATTCGATTTTCTATATTTTAAGAAAAGGTCATTGTTTTGCGATAAATAGTTATTAAGAAAATAGCTAGTTACCTATAAATTCTTAGGATAATTAATTTTTTGTTACTTTAAACTGAAATACCTTTGTTTTGAATTTTTTAGATGCTCGAGTTGATTATTTAACTTTTTGGCTTCCTTAGTTTTTCGATTTTTGTATTCTTCAATTGCTGGATTTCTTATTTTTCTCTTCAATTCTCTTTTTAGGTGTTTGACAGGTCGCTATGTTGCCGCCAATTGCGCTACTCCGGAATGATGGAAACGGCGAAAATCCGCCAAGCTGGTTACCCCATTCGCTACACCTACAAAGACTTCGTCGACCGTTTCCGCCACTTGGGCAAAGCAATCCCTCCGAGTTCAAAAGGCGATTGCAAACAATCAACGAAGAAAATCTGCGAAACGGTCTTCCAGAACAACGAAGACTACCAAATGGGCACCACCAAACTCTTCCTCAAAGCCCACGACCACGAATTTCTGGAACAAGAACGAAGCAGAATCCTATCAAAGTACATCCTCGTGTTGCAGAAAGCCATCCGGGGCTGGATTTTCAAAAGACGTTTCCGGAAACTGCGAGAAGCCGCCATCGTTTTCCAGAAATACTGGCGAGCGAGGGGGTACCGCACCAAATTCCTCGTTATCAGAAACGGTTATCAGAGACTACAAGCCTCGATTCGCTCAAGACAACTCACACATTCCTTCGCACAGATTCGGAAGAAAATCGTCAATTTGCAAGCGGTAGCAAGGGGGTACTTCGTCAGGAATAAATCACAATTTGGCAGAATTTATGCTATTGTCAAACAGAGAAAAGTCGACGAGCAAAATATGAAAAATGCAGGCAACAAGAATTACAGAATTGAGGCTGAAACAAAAATGCAGAAAAGCTTGGCCGAACTCAATAGAGAGTACACCTTGAAGTTGAAACAACAGGAAGAAGAAGAAAGCAAAGCGAAGAAGTTGGTCGATGATGTGTTTGAGTTTCTCCAAGATCCGAATCTTCCTGCCACACCGACGGACATTAGGAAGGAAAATGAAGCGTTTATTGTAAGTTTAACAAAATAAAATAAATACCAACAAAAAGTGTCAAAATTTATTTAAAAAAATACAAAGACATGGCCGCGCCATAGAAATTATTAACATCAAATTACTCCACATTTTTTTCAGTAACGTTTGTAACGGTGGCTATAATAGTACTAATTTTGAAATTTCAGCCAATCTAATCAAAGTTTTAGATAACCAACTTGATAATATTTTGCAGGAGTTGCTCAAGGACGAAAAATCGGGCAAAAACGACAAAACCTACGACGAGGAGGACGACGATTTGTCGGCTTATAACTTTGCAAAATTCGCAGCGACTTATTTCATGAAACACACTAATCACTACTCCAAACGCCCCCTCAAAGAATCTTTACTTGATTTACCAACACCGGACGATATAATCGCCGCGCAAGCTCTCTGGATCACCATTCTGAGATTCATGGGGGATTTACCCGAACCCAGATTTGAAAATCCAATCAAAACTAACGAATCAGTCATGACTCAAGTATCACAGACGTTGAGTCGCAGTTTCACAAACCGGAAAGAGTATCAGGTTTTAATTCTTCCCCTATACGGGTGTCCATTTTATTTGTGCCCCCCAAAGATAGGCAACATATTATACACTCCCTTAACTATTTTGTGCAAAGTATTAACTATTCTAAATCGGATAGTCATAGTCGGTGCTTGACTATCGGAAAATTCAAAACAAAATTAAAAAAAATAAAGTTATCAAATTATTGTATTGTTGGTTGCCTGTTTATGAAAAACAGATAAAATGGACACTCTGTATTATTTCAATAACTTTTGTTTCAATTCAGGAGATTTTGAAAGATGAGCGAAAAATGGCAAGTTTGACCAAATCAGAACGGCAAAAACTCGTAAGTATGACTTTGCGACGCAAGAACAAGTTATTGGAGGACGTCCGTCAAGGTCTAGTTGAAGACAACTTTGCTGCAGAAAGTTACAACGACTGGTTAAACAATCGCAGAACTACGAATTTAGAAAAGTTGCACTTCATAATCGGGCATGGGATTTTGCGACCAGAATTACGGTATAAAAAAACAATTTCATTGAAATTGGCATAACAGTAGGCCATGATTGTGTAAACCGCGCTTTAAATGTGAAAAAGGCGTTACATATTAAGGAACTAAATTTGTCACTAAAAAAGTGGGGTTAAGATTAAGATGGTCAAAATTTTATTTTTAAAGAACCCTTTTTCAGAGGTTTTTTGAGCGAGTTTTTTCCGTGAAAAAAATTTAACACCCCTTTTCTTCCCTTTGTAGGTGTGGTTGTAACACCAAAAACATACACCATTTGCTTTGAAGAAAATAATTTGGCTTTATTCAAATTGGTATATACTCTTTTTCATATTAATAGCATCAAGTAGGTTGTAGAAGTTTAAATGCATCTTTAATTTAAAGGCCGGTTCACATAAAAAGTGTCATTAATGACATTCAGAACAAATCTAATCACATTAATAATGACAAAAATCTTTATATTTCCTACCTTATGTTAATTACGTTGTTAATTTTAATTATTTTTTGCTACCTGAGGTACAGTTGGAAACAAAATACTTTGGTCGTCACTTTTCTGACACTTTAATGTAATTAAAGCTTTAACGTTAAAATGAATGACAATTTCAAATTAATGACAGCTATTATATTTTCCTATCAAAAATATGTACAGGGTGCTGCATTTTGGATGTCCGAATAGGGAATCTCCGAAACTAAGAGGTTTAGCCAAAAACGAGTAATACATTCTGGGGCTCATTTTTTCAGAAAATAATATCGGTTAAAACCGCATCCCGCTATCGTCTTTTGTTTTCGACTTACAGACAAAAGTTGACATTTTGGCGAAATCTAAAAAAATTCATATCTTCGTTATTATAGAAGATACGGATTTGAAATAAAGACATTATATAGGCACTTTTTTACGAGGAATTTAATAATGTAGTTAACAATTTTTTTCAGTTATTAGTTTAGCCGTAATAAGATAAACTTTTATTTTTTTAAATGGAAATCATAGGCGGCTATGGCAATTTTGAAAAGCGTATTTTTTTCTGATCTAAAAAATATATATTTGTAACAAAATATTTTTTTATAACTATACTTAAAAAGTGAAATACATATTTTGTGTGATAATAGTTGGCCATGGAAAAACTATTTCATTCCAAATGTGTAAATAATAATCAATAAGAGTTTTGTGAACTGTAAAATAGATGAAAAAATAGATAAAATTATATAGATTTAAAAAATAGGATACAGTAGAAGCATTGAACAAATATCCGAGCGCCTCAGAACAAAATTATTACATATTTTTAAAAAATCAAAAAATAGGAAAAACAAATGTGTCAATAGTCAACACAATTACAAAAAACATTTTTTTTGATGATCTAATGAAGGTAGGATAACGTTTCACAAAGACGGAATTTGCGTATTTGAATAGAAATATCGTCATTTTTGTGTCATATAAAATATATTTTATTGAATAATTAAAGCAGCTTTTTTTTACAACACTCTATGTATCACTAGAAGTTGCAATGGTAATGTTAGCTTGTTTAAAAACAAAGAAATGTTATTAGTCGCCAGTAAGTTGATTTACAATTTATTTTGCATCTTTTTCATTACTTAGTACTTAGAAAACTCTTTCATTAGTGACACTGGTTGAATGTAATATAGTTTAAATCCTTTTAGTTGAAGATGCAACATTTTTTCATGGCCAACTGCGAACAAAAATCAAAGATAATTTTTTGCTAAAAATGTATTATAATAATTTGTTACAAATATATATTTTTTAGATAAGAAAAAAACAAGCTTTTTAAAAATGACATAGCCATCTATGATTCCCATTTAAAAACATACAAGTTTATTTTATTGCGGCTAAACAAACAACTGAAAAAAATTGTTAACTACATTATTAAATTCTACGTAAAAAAGTGTCTTTATTTCAAATCTGTGTCTTCTATAATAACGAAGATATGAATTTTTTTAGATTTTGCTAAAATGTCAATTTTTGTCTATAAGTCGAAAACAAAAGACGATAGCGGGATGCGGTTTTAACCAATATTATTTTCTCAAAAAATGAGCCCCAGAATATTACTCGTTTTTGGCTAAACCTCTTAGTTTCGGGGATTCCCTATTCGGACATACAACTTGTCAACTATGACTGACAGTAGCTAAAAATAAGGTTAACAGTCCTAAAGCATGCTTTACAATTTAATGTCACTCAAGTCACATTGACGACCAAAGTATTTTGTCTCCAACTGTACACATTTATTTGAAAAAATGATTTTTAGGTAAGATTAAAGTTAGGATTGTTTGAATTTTTGCATGGTTGCCACCTTAAAATGATCCCTTTTAACGACTACTTCGATGCACATTAATATGAAAAAGAGTATATATTTGATTCCATTAACCTAAAACAGGGACAATAAAAAGAAATTGATTATGTTTTCAATTTAGGGTTCTGAAGAGTACTTCTTTTAATTTTATTTGAAAAAATACTGGGAATAACGATCAAGCAACGAAAACAGTAAAAAACGAATACAAATGTCAGTCATGTCAAGTAACCAAAGAAAAACAAAAACCCCATTTGCTGGTATCCCAGCAGGGACATGCGCAGGGCTACAAACTTAAATATGAAATTCCATAGCCAACCATTATGCCAATTCCACTGAAATCTCCTATATTTTATATTAACTAGTCACCATTTAGTTAATTTTTTTTTCAGTGATGAAATCTTATGCCAAATTTGCAAACAACTGACCAACAACCCGTCGAAACCCTCGCATGCCCGCGGCTGGATCCTCCTAAGTCTCTGCATCGGTTGTTTCCCCCCTTCCGACCGCTTCATCAACTACCTCCGTGCCTTCATCCGAAGCGGCCCCCCCGGCTACGCCCCTTACTGCGAGGGTCGCTTGAACCGCACCTTCAAAAACGGGCCTCGCACACAGCCCCCAAGTTGGCTCGAACTCATGGCTACGCGAAACAAGAACCCAATTTCGCTCAAAATCACCTTCATGGACAACAGCGAGCAAGAAGTTGAGGTCGATTCAGCCACAACATCTGAAGAAATCTGCAAGGAAATTTCAACGAAACGAAACTTGAAGGACGTTTTTGGTTTCTCGTTGTTTATCACACTGTTTGATAAAGTCATGTCTTTGGGGAGTGAGTCTGATCATGTCATGGATGCGATTTCACAATGTGAACAATACGCCAAAGAGAAAGGACAATCGGAACGAAACGCCCCCTGGAAGCTCTTCTTCCGGAAGGAGATTTTCACGCCTTGGCACAACGCAGGCGAGGATTCAGTCGCGACCAATTTAATCTACCACCAAGTGATTCGGGGGCTGAAATTCGGGGAATACCGCTGTAGTGTCGAAGGCGACGTTGCCACACTAGCAGCAACGCAATATTACGTCGATAATGGGCCCCAAATCAACCCGGAAATCTTACATACGAGAATCGGGGAATACATGCCGACGTATCTGGTCAAAAAGGGGCAAAAAAACCTCGACGAGTGGGAAAAACGAATCAAAGAAGCCTTCTCTAAACTAGTTTGTGTCAAAAACAAACTACCAGCACTTAAAGCACAAGAATTCATAGTCAAATATGCGAAAACCACATGGCCGATTCTCTTCTCAAAATTCTACGAGGTGTTGCAAACTGGGGGGCCCCAACTCCCGACCAAGACCATGATCATCGCTGTTAATTGGACGGGGATTTACATGATCGACGACCAAGAGCAAATCCTCCTCGAACTCACTTTCAGCGACGTGAATTCCGTCAGTTTTGAACAAATTTCGCGCTCACATTTGCATAAATTCGTCTTGACGACTGTGCGAAACGAAGAGTACGTTTTTGTGAGTCCTGACGCTGCAAACATTTGTACTCTCATTCAGTATCTTCTCGATGGTTTGAAGAAACGTTCGACTTATGTTGTGGTGATCCAGGATTACAAACACCAGACGAATGCACCGTCGTTTTTGGCCCTCAAAAAGGGGGATTTAATCGCGCTCAAAAACGGGCTCAATGGGGAGGCGCTGATGTCGGCGACGTGGGGCTACGGGGAGTGCAACAACTCCGTCGGGGACTTCCCCACAGAGCATGTTTACATCCTGCCAACCATCACCAAGCCCCCTGAGGATATTTTAACCGCGTTCAAGAAAGAGGGCGTTTTTGGGGCGAGGAAACCCTCAGCGCCGGTCTTGAACACGATGCAAAGACTGAAACTTTACACTTTGGCACATTATGCCAATGAGCATTTTCGAAGTGGGAAAAAAATCGCAAGTGGGAAACCCTCGGTTTTGACAGCGGTTCGAAGAGCCTCCCGTGAGGAGCTCTGGAAGTACACCAATGAACCCATCTACCAACCCCATCTCGCGAAATTGCTACCCAACGAGGAGCTGAGTAAAGAAGCATGTTCGGCGTTTACAGCAATCTTGAAATACATGGGGGATTTACCCGCCCCCAAAGCCAAATACAGTAATGAGTACACCGATCAGATTTTCTCAAGTTGTCTCAAACACGAAATCCTCAAAGACGAGGTTTACTGCCAGATTATGCGCCAATTGACTTTCAACCGACTGTCTTTGAGTGAAGAACGCGGTTGGGAGTTGATGTATTTAGCCACTGGACTTTTCATCCCAAGTGCTTCACTCATGTCAGAGTTGCAGAAGTTTTTGACTTCGAGGACTCACCCCTTCGTGGAGCCGTGCTTGAAACGGTTGCAAAGAAGCCAAAAAGTGGGGCCCCGCAAATACCCGCCTTATTCAGTGGAAGTTGAAGCGATCCAACACCGAAGTATGGAAATCTACCACAAGATTTACTTCCCCGATGACACGGATGAAGCCTTCGAGGTGGACTCGGTAACGCGGGCTTGTGACCTCTCCAAGACGATTTCAACCCGTCTCGAGTTGGAATACACAGAAGGTTTTAGTTTGTTTGTCATGATTTCGGATAAAGTGTTTTCGATCCCTGAAGACTACTTCTTCTACGATTTTCTTCACGAGTTGATCACGTGGATGCGTCAGACGAAGCCGAGCTGGAACAGTGCAGCCCCCATTCAAGCCCAGTATCAGGTCTTCTTCATGAAGAAGCTTTGGATTCATGCGGTGCCGGGGAAGGACCCCAATGCCGACCAAATCTTCCATTTCCACCAAGAGCTCCCCAAGTTTTTGCGCGGTTTCCACAAATGCACCAAACAGGATGCGATTAAACTCGCCGCTCTTGTGCTTCACACAAGAGTTGATAACGACTACGCGCAAGCTCAAGTCGCCGTGCAACATGTCAAGGAGCTCATCCCCGGGGATTTGGTCAAGGCTGCGGGCTCCTCGGAGTGGAAAAAGAGCATTTTGAGCGAGTTCAAAAAACTCGGGGATGTTAGTGTCGAGGAGGCGAAGCTGCGATTCTTGAAAACCATCTACGAATGGCCCACTTTTGGGTCCACTTTCTTTGAAGTGAAACAAACCACCGATCCGACGTTACCAGATGTTATTTTGATTGGGATTAACAAGCAAGGAGTGAATATTTTGCATCCACAAACAAAGGTCTGTTGACTTGGTTTTGGGTTAGATAATATTCGTGTCGTTTTAGGATATTTTAGCTGTGCACGAATTCTCAGAGTTGAGTAATTGGTCCTCAGGGAACACTTTCTTCCATCTTACCATTGGGAACATAATGAGGAAAACGAAGCTCTTGTGCGAGACGTCGCAAGGCTACAAAATGGATGATTTAATCACTTCCTACACCGACTACATCAAAAACACGGCCAAGAAGGAGCAGGAAAAGGAAAAATTCTTTTTGTAGATACAGACTAAATATATTTTAGAAAATTAAATGAGTGAATTGTTGGTTGCATACCCTACAAATTTAATTACTTTGTTGATTTCATTTTAATTGTTAATTTGTAATTATTAATAAATAAAATTAGTAATTTCAAACATTGTTTATTTAAAGTAATAAAGAAAATAAGGTTCGCGAGTAACAAACTTTGGGAGTTGTGTAAATTAGACCTCATAGAAACCAAGAAGGATACTCGGTGTAGTGGGGAAACTTGAGCAGTGGCGTAACACTGATAACAAGGGAATTGTAGAGTTGCATTTTTTTTTCGTATATTCATTGACTGAGATTAAATATAAAAAATTCATACGATGCTCCACGATTATTTCGAATATACGGTGATATTAATTCTGTATAAATAAAAAACGAACAAAAAGTAACGAATAGATTCATTTATTTAAAATATAAACATATTAAGAAACAATATTTGTATCATAATTAATTGTAATTAATTTTTCAAAGTTAACATTTATAATATGCCCCTGTTAGGTATATTAAACATTTTTTAGTGATGTTTTGTTTTCATACCTAGTCAATAAGATGTAAGAATTTTAGTACACTGGAGGACACGGAATTTTGGACGATTTGTCATTTGACTGACATAAAAATGTAAAACGGACCTTAAGCAACTAACCTCACTTTCGGTTTTTGTAATTTTTATGCTGACAGCTAGAGAAAAAATGACAACAAATCAAAATAATATATTGAACCTATATTAAAATACGTATTGCTGGCATTATTGTTTCGGAAAATCGACGCCAAAATTAAATTTCAATTAAAACTTTCAAATTTTAGTTTCAAATGTCAATCATGAGACAATAAAGCGTGGCTTACATTGACATTTTTTGAACTGACAAATTTGATGTCCAAAATTACAGTATATGGATTATTTGTTTTGTTCAAATAAATAAGTGCGAATACACGCCACTGCTCTCAGCTGATTTCAGAACTCCCCTATATTCACGAATGGATTCGTCCGCTTTTCGTCTCTGCGCATCCCTTCCATCGATATCCTTCTTGGTTTCTATGAACTCTACTTTGTTGATTTCATATTAATTGTTTAATTGTTAATTTATAATTATTAATAAATAAAATTAGTAATTTCAAACATTGTTTATTTAAAATAATAAAGAAAATAAGGTTCGCGTATAACAAACTTCGCGTGTTGTCTAAATTCATCTGTCACTTGTCAATCTGTCAACTCGTAAAATTTGGTGTGGTTCAAAAAGTTGTTTTCAGTGTTTTCGTCCCTATTTTAACTAAAAATCACTCAACCCAACTAAAGTACAAAGCATTAAGTAATTGTTAAAAGTGTACGGTTTAGTTTGAATCGTATTTGTTGACTTTTTAGTGTGCTTTAGAAAACCCCAAAAATTGGAGAAAATCGCCCAAAAAGCCTCATTTTGGAAGTTTCTGTCTTGTATCAAGTGTGAATAATGAGCACTCAACCAAGTCCAGCGAACCAAACCGTCGAAAGAGAGAAAGTTTTCCAATGGATTCTCGAACTTACGAATCCCGAGACTCGCGAGAATGCCCTTTTAGAATTAAGGTGGGTGTTTGAAGCTGGTGCAGAATGGCTGATTTTGTGTCATTTTTAGTAAGAAACGTGAAGTTGTGCCTGATTTAGCCCCAATGTTGTGGAACAGTTTCGGGACAACGGCAGCCCTCCTGCAAGAAATCATTAATATTTACCCCGCTATTAATCCAGCCACCTTGACCGCCCATCAATCCAACAGGTATTTCATTGATTGCAAGGCGAATTTACCAAATTTTGTGTTTTTTTGTAGAGTTTGTAACGCTTTGGCCTTGCTCCAATGCGTGGCTTCGCATCCAGAAACCAGATCGCAGTTTTTACTCGCCCATGTGCCCCTTTTCCTCTACCCATTTTTGCACACAGTGTCCAAAACGCGGCCTTTCGAATACTTGAGATTGACAAGTCTTGGGGTGATTGGTGCATTGGTCAAGGTAATTTTTTCGTGGTAAATATCTCAATTACTTTTGATTTTATTTTAGACTGATGAGCAAGAAGTTATCAATTTTCTTCTAACGACTGAAATAATTCCCTTGTGTTTGAGAATAATGGAATCTGGATCTGAATTAAGCAAAACCGTTGCGACGTTTATCTTGCAAAAGATTTTATTGGACGATAGTGGCCTTTCATACATTTGCCAGACCTACGATAGGTTTAGTCACGTGGCTATGATTTTAGTAAGTTGGCAATTGTGTAAAAGTTTTTGTTTGAATTATTTTTGTTAGGGTAAAATGGTGTTGGCTTTGGCAAAGGAGCCAAGTGCGAGGCTTTTGAAACATGTGGTACGTTGTTATCTGAGATTATCAGATAATCCAAGGTGGAAATTTCTATTGGGTTGTGATAAGTTTTGTTAATTGTTGTTTTTTAGAGCAAGGGAAGCTTTAAGGCAGTGCCTACCTGACCACTTACGCGACAATACATTTACAGTGTGTTTGCAAGAAGATAAATCAACCAAACATTGGCTTTCGCAATTGTTGGCGAATTTAGAAACACCCGGTACTTCGGAATTGCATCAAGGTGGTATATCGCCATTGACGTCACAGTAGTTGAAAATTGTGATTTAAAAACGTTTTTTCTTTAGTTTAGGTTATCAAGTGTGTTAATAACGAACGAAAGCAATCATTGTTCTTGTAAATATGTCAACAATGTCAACAGATCATTTTACTTTGTATCATTTTTATATCTTTTAGGATGCCAGATGTATATTTAAATTTTTGTGAATTATAATTGAAATAATGACTTGTTTTATTTTCCCTCGTTATTTAAAGCAAGGCGGGTATCCGCCATTTGGTGTTAACGAAAACTGTTTTCGATGTATTTACTGCGATATGTTTCTCTTTGCTGTAGATGACGCTAGCGGTAACCTTTTACCCTAGTTTACTAGGTTGCCTTTTAAATAGGGTTACAATATTATTGTCGTGTTACAATAATAAAGGTAAAAAATACTAAAAGAATTAAGTTTATAAATAATTACGCAGTACCTTCGCTGCCGGCAACGGCGCTCGTACAGTGATGGACAGTGAATTTCGTCCACCCAATTTCCTTGACAGATTAAAAGTGTAAATTAGTCTTTAGGTTTTCCTAACCTTGTTTCAGAATTTTGATTAACGTTTGTCATGTTGACAGAAGGCTCGATAATTTTTGCTACTTTTTACCTTTGTCCTTCGAAATGGTAGTCCTTGGTATGCCCAAAAGTATAGAGACACGTCTTTGACACATACCTTCTTGTACCTTCATGTTCGAATTTGATTAAATTTGACAATTCGTATTTGAATGTCAATTATCATGACAATAAAGCACAGACTAGAGTGAATTTTTGTGAATTCACAGAAATTGGGTGGACGAAATTCACTGTCCATCACTGTATGTACCAGCTGCTGGCAAAAAAATTATAGGTTGAAAGAAATTACATGGATTTATGTAGAGATAAAGGCTGAAATAAATATTGAAATCCAAATTGTTGTATTGTAACTTCCATCTCTTGTGCAACTGTGCACTTTTTGGATAGTTATTTTTTTTTTTTGTTTAAAGTTAAACATATTTTTAAATAATTGATTCTAGACATTTGAAAGTTATTGTTTTTAGATTGACTTTTTAATAATCTATTAAATGCTAAAAAAAAAATAGGGTGTTTTAAAATTCGAAAAAGACCCCAAAATCCTGTAAAAAGACCTTAATAGACATCTCTAAGTAGGTACCTTAGAATTTATACAGAGCGATCCAAAAATCAATTATGTTAAAACATCCAAAGATGCTTAGGTATACAAAATTCCCTACATTATCTAACTGATTTTCAAGTATACATTAAACTCCCTTTAAATTTACTAAAATAGAAAATCAATGATTTATCTAACATCTTGTTATTACGAAAATTCAATCATATTTTTTGTGTCCCCAAAAATAAGTTAATAATATCAAATTGTGTTATGTATTTAGGTTTTAATTTTGTTAATTTGAAAACAAATTTTTATTAATCGATTTTATTTAGTTTTTGAAACATTTTGCTTTCATTGTCAAAAAACAATAATTCTTACATCTTGAAAGAAAAAACTACAAACTTTAGTACTATAACATTTTTTTAGTGTATTGTGGTGAAAAAGTATTTTTTTTTTCAATGATTTTTTTCATGACCTGGTCCAGAAGTAATATTTTATTTTATTTTACTACTCTTATATGTATGTTGAATAGACAAAATTTTCAACTTGTTTCTCTGAATTTCTAAATAAAAGTTTGACACCAATCGTTTGTATTTTATTTTTTTTTAACAGACATTTTTAAGAAAATTAAGAGCCAACGGAAATTAATAAAAATAAAATAGTAGGTATCTATTCAAAGAAAGAACATAAAAATCAACCTTTTTTTAGAACTCTCAATTTAATTAATCATGCTTATGCGCCAAAAGCTGAAGAAAGGTCTATAAAAAATACAAAAGACACTAAATGTACTAGCAATTAAAAAAGCAGTTTAGTGATATTTGTGGCTTTTATTGGCAGAATTTTTGTACAGTTGGGGACAAAATACTTTGGTCGTCAATGTCACTTGAGTGACATTAAATTGTAAAGCATGCTTTAGGACTGTTAACCTTATTTTTAGCTGCTGTCAATCATAGTTGACAAGTTTTTGATAGGAAAATATAATAGCTGTCATGACAAAAAATAAATGTCAAAAAATTTTTGACAGATCGAATTTTTTGAACATTTTTTCACAGTTACGGAATTAAAATTTCGGGCAGTATTTTTCTGTCACTTCAAAAAGTTCACTGTAAACTACCTTTTACTGTCATCATGATTGACATTTGACAATTAAACTTTTCTGTCAGTGACTATTTTTTAAGTCAAAATGACATAAACAGACAAGAGTAAAAAATGAGGTTATTAATGTAAAGGTTGTTTTAGAGTTTACATTATGAAAATGACAATACTGCCTGGAATTTTAATTCCTCAACTGTACATAAATCGATACAGATTTGTATATAATATAATATCGTTAAGAAAAAAATAATAATTAGAAACTATTAGTAGTCCATCTCATCTGCACAGTGTGAGAGAGATGGACTTTTACACAACATTATTATTTTTTTATGTACCTAATTAAAAGGATGCGTTTTTTATTTTGTTACTTTTGCATGTCATGCTATGAGTTTTCGTAAATTGAAATAAAGATCGTAATTTTACGGTAAGTTTTTGAAAATGTGGTTCATCTCTCCCGGACTTACCCTAATTGGAGCTATAAACGATTTGCAAATGTGGCGCTGGCCAATGTATTACAAGTTACTCTCCCACTGGTGCATACTTCTGCAATTACACGTGATGTCTCCGCCCACTAAGTACACATACGCGTACGTAGAGTACATCAGCGACAAAATTAATTGTTTACTCAAGTTTTTACGCAAATTTAGTGCATTAGCTTGTACTACTTTTTCATATTTATAATAGATTACCACTTTTAATGACTTATTTCTTATTATAATTTTTTTTCTTAAATTGAAAACACAACTTGAAACTTGCCAATTTTAATTTAACATTCACTAATTTAAAACAATTATAATTACACATTTGTTGATTTACTTGTTACTATAATTTGAATTGCGTCGGAGAAGATGAAAAAACTATAACGCTTAAGAAGACAGAAAAAAAAATTGACAACAAAGATTTTGCTTTTTTACTAAACTTTGTTGTTAGTTATATTAAAATATTGAATAAAAATAAAAATGAATGTTTAAGTAAAAGTTGATGAAACAAACAGAAAATTTGGTTGGTAAAGACTAAAGCATAAAAACGTGAAAAAAAAAAACAAAATAAAACAACAAGTTTTATTAATAATGTGTATAAATGAAGGATTTTTCTTCAAAATATAGACATACCTAATATAAATTTGTAAAAACATATAATCTCAGAGAACAGTATTTATTAAAATTTGTAATAGTATATTATGTTATTAGGAGTAAAAGTGAATTCAAATCGAGCACACTATAGTTATCAAAAATGAACAAAATGATCTGAACGCTTTGCAAGTAATGAAATCATAACAACACCTATAAACAAACATCACGAATTTGTGTTGATGTTTTTCAAAAGTGTTTATTATTTAAACTAGTGCAGTTGGTAGTGTAAAATGTCGAATGTACCCATCGACAATGTACCTCTCCAAAAATTGCTGAAGAGGCAAGAAAGAGACAAGTTTGACGTAAAATCAGATATTTTTTTTCCTTTTGTAAACCCAATCCGGGGACATACTGTATATAAAACTCGTAAAAACGCTGAAAGTGTAGAAACAGTGTTTTCAGTCACTTTTCAAGATAATTTAGATTAGTTTTTGACATTGACAGTTCAAATATCAATTTGAAACAACCTTTAAAGTAATTATCTCGTCAAATTTTACTTTAACTTTGCACAAAAATTAAAACTTTTTATTTATACATACAGGCTGACCCAGGGGTGCGTGCAAGCTCTATAACTTTTTTTCTATCCAAGCCATTGATTTGATTTTTTTTTTTTTTTTGAAATGGTAAGTCGTCTAATAATGAAGCACGTTTCAAAAATTTTTTTAGTTAATACAAAATAAATAATAAATAAAATGTCCCAAAATATGATACACAACTAAGTTCTGTTTTTTTTTTTAATGACAACTTCTAACTTTTGTTACATTTTTGAATTCCTCTCTAAATTGTCGATATAACGCACCCGGTTTCTAAAAATTTTCTGCAATAGTTTTTGACTTATGTCAATTTATATGTCAAAATAGCGTAGTGCATAGACCCACTGAAATATTCATAACTTCAAAACTATTAAAGATAACGAAACCTACTTTTTTCCAGTCGATTCTTCAAATTTTAACGCATATTTTGAGATAAAGACGAACTTTGAGTCGTTGTTCCATCGCCTATTACGATTTTTTTTAAATGACAAATTACAAATGGCAATAACTCGATTTTTTTAAATACAACACCCTCTACTTTATTGCATCGTTGCATGGCGTTTTTTATGAGCTTTTTGTCGATATAGGGTTTGTGGGGTCTATTTTGTATTTGTGTGATTTCTACAAAATGAGAAATGTTGATGTTTAAAAAAAAAAATCGAGTAGGCTGATGTCATAAAATTTGGCATATCAATATAATTCTGAAAAGAATATGTTTCAATAAAATAAAATTGTAATAGAAACAGGAAAGGATGATTGATAGGAAACAATGTGAAAAGTCTACTTATAGAAAATGCTCAAATAAGTCACCACAAACTGCTAACCTTCTAGTAAATGAGCCTCGAATTCTAGCAAGCGTTGTTTCATCAGTTAAATAGAAGGCTTCTGTCAAATTTTACGACAGCGGCCTACTAGATTTCTTTTTTTTTTTCGAAAAAAAAATCAACATTTTTTTATTTAGCAAAAATGTCACAAATTTTACAAAGTAGATCCCATAAACTCTATATTGACAAAAAGCTCCTAAAAATGCTACGTAACGATGTAATAAAATATAGTGTTTTATTTAAAAAAGTCGAATTATCGCCATTTATAAGTTGTCATTTTCAAAAAATTGTAGTAGGCAATGGAACATTGACTCCGGGTTTGCCTTTATCTCAGAAACTGTGCTAAAGCTTAAGGAATCGTCTGCAAAAAAGTTCGTTAAGTTATCTTAAATGGTTCTGAAGTTATGATGCACGACGCCATTTTGACATATAAATTCACATAAGTCAAAAACTATTTCAACCAATTCTAAGAGACTTGGTGCATTATATCGACAA